TAAGAGTACAGGATCAAAAAATCGTTGCTGCGCGGATAATTTCCAGTACTGGTCACCGGTGGGATCCATGTTTTTTACCTGTTCACTCAGAATCATTAGAGGCAAGAGGGGGATCTGCATGCCACCAAGTTAAAGGTGTGAATAAAGGAGGGTTTAGAACATAAGCCCAATAAAATAGATCAAACTCAGCATGCAAGCATGCAAAGAAGTAAGTATAAGGGTATAGAACCATACTTTACCCATCTTCAGCTGTTCTTTTCAGTGAACTTCTTAACACTCTTCTGGGGTACCCACTTTAATTTAGCACCTGTATCAATACATAAAGACCCCCTCTCCCAACATTTTACATCAAAAGGCCCTTCCCAAATATCAGTAAATGTTTTTTTTTTATTTACACCTTAACTCCTTTTACGTCTAAAGGTGGGTTTATAAACTTTCTAGCTGGTGTCAGTCTATCTAGTCTTCGATTTAAAAATTGAAGTGTTAATATGCATGATGTAATATATTATGGCTTTTTTGTATTCTATAATTATTCCTCCCTTTTAATTTATGCAAATAAGATTTTAATGTTTGATGACATTGTTTAACAATAGCTTGACCAGTGGAATTATAAGGAATACCAGTAGTATGGTCAATTTTTTAATTTTGACAAAACTGTGAAATAATTTGTGTAGAAAGCTCAGGACCATTGTCAGTTTTAATTTTGTGGGGTTTGCCTAAAACACTAAAAGCAGATAACCAAGTCAAATGACGCTGTGGGCATTACATTTAGTATGTATTGTGGCATACATAAAATTAGAAAAAGTGTCCACAGAAACTATGATATATTTTAAATGTCCGAAGGAGGGAAACAAGATGTTGTCTGTTTGCCAAATTTGTTACTCTGAATACCTCTTGGATTAATGTCCTCTAAATTATAATTTGGTTTAGCAATTGTAAATCGATTACATTGTGAGTATGCTTGTATGATTTGTTTTGCTTGTCTTTTAGTTATATCATAAATAGCTCTTAAGGCCTGGACATTGTAGTGGTGTAAGGCATGAAATTGTTTAGTCTTTTTAAATTTACTAATAGCAGGTTGGGTTTGAACATAATTAGATACTATTTTATTAACATAATAGTTGCCTTCTGACAATGGTCCTGGTAAATTAGTATGAAATTGCATATGAGCAATAAAACAGGGATATTGTCTATTATGTAGCAAATTTTTAATATTTAAAAAATGTTGTAAATGTATTTTTGAGGATGCTTGAGGCAATATAGCAGTGGTTAATAACGGCAATGCATTTACCATATATTGAAAATCAGTAATTATATTTAAAAGTTTATTAGGTTTTTTTTTTAATAGGGCTAGCTCTATTGTAGCAATTTTAGCTATCTGAGTACTTTTATGTCCTGTAGTAAATTTGAACGCCATTGTTTTTTATTAAACCATGCAATGGCAGTCTTGGATGTTTTTTGAGAACCATTAGTAAACAGTGTAACTGCCTGCAATAAGGGCTTTTTAGAAATAATAGTCATTAATTTTAGAGGCACTTGTGTGCAAAATTGTAACAGGGGATGTGAATATTTTTAAATGTAATATTTTTTTTAGATAATGTTTTAAAGAGGCCTGGATATCCTCATTTTTTATAAAATAATTTTGGAATTGGCTGGCAGTACATGGTAAATTTATATTTTGAGGATCTTGTCCCATTAATTGTAAACAGCGATGTCGAGTTTTGTTTATGATATCATGATAAGTAGTGGTTAAGGCCCAAGTTAATGATTGAGACAAATAAACCCACTCTAATAAGAATAAAGTGTCCCTTTTTTGTGTAAGTACCCCTGTAGGTGTTTGAGATGTATTTAAAACAGTAAGAATAATAGGTAATTTAGGTTGTAAACGGTGTAGAAATTAACAATTTAAAGTTTTATTAACCTTTTAAAATTTTTTGATAGCTTTAGGGGTTATTGTACGTAATAAGGCAGGTTTCTTATCTCCTTTTAACAATTGAAATAAATGATGTAATTGGACTGTAGATATTTTTAAAAAAGGTCTGATCCAGTCAATATGTCCTAGCAATTGTTGCAATTGAACTAATGTTATACAAGGCTTGATATTTAATTTTATATGGTGTGGCCTAATAGTTTGTGTGTTGTTATCCTAAGAAATTTTTAAGGTTGCATTATCTGTACTTTACCTTGAGCAACAAAAGGCCCTTAGTTTGTAAAAATGTAACAGTTTTTTTGAAACAATAGAAGATTAGTTTTGTTTTTTACACCCAGTAAGATGTTATCTGTATAATGAAAAATATATATTTGAGGAAATTGTTGACGTATAGGTTTTAAAATTTTTTTACTAATTGCTGACATATAGTAGGACTATTTTTTATACTCTGAGGAAGGAATTTTTATTGATAACGTTTAGGAATCTCCTGATTGTTATAGGTAGGAACAGTAAAGGCAAATTTTTTTTTTTATTAGCTTTGTGCAAAGGTAATGAGAAAAAACAATCCTTTATGTCAATAACAATTAAGGGCCAAGAGTCAGGAATAAGTGAAGGATTCGGTAGCCCCTTTTGTAAGGGTCCCATAAGTTGCATTATAGCATTTATAGCACATAAATCTTGTAATAACCTCCATTTTTCTGATTTTTTTTTATTACAAAACCAGGTGTGTTTTAAGGACTAGTAGAAGATTTCAAATGACCCAGCTTTAGTTGTAGCCAATTTTTGTAATGTTTGTAGTTTTTCTTTAGGAAGGGGCCATTGCTCCACCCAAATAGGTTGCTGTTGGGTCCATGTTAGAGCAATGGGAATAATATTTGGGATAGTAGCAGCAGCCCCTATTAAAAAGGATCAATCTTTAAGGTTAGGTTTTACTGAGCAAGAAGGTCCTTGCCCCACAGAGTGCAGGGTATTGGTAATATAAAAGGAGTTACAAAGGCCATTTTATTTTTAGGCCCTTGGACCTTTAGTGAGTGAGAACTTATTTTAGGTGCCAATAGTCTATAAACTCCTTGTACAGTAACATCAGATTTTTGTTTTTGCCAATCAGAAGGCCAAAGAAAACTAGAAATAGTTTTGTCTGCTCCTGTGTCCAATAACCCCGTAAATTGTTTTTCTTGTATTGAAACTGTTAATATAGGTCTGTTATTGGTTATTGAATATATCCAAAAAGCTTGTTGTCCTGTCCGAAGCCCTTATCTCCTCTATTACTTTTAGCAAATTTTTGAGCAGGTAAATAAGTTATTAAAATAATTTGAGCAATTTGAGATTGCTAAGGAATAATGTAATAAGAAGAGGCACGAACCATAATTTTAATTTCTCCAGTATAATCATTATTTGTTAACACCAGGTAAAACTGTTAACCCTTTCAAGCCCACAGATGATTTTCCTATTAGCAATCCAAAATACCCAGAAGGTAAAGGTCCCCAGACTCCAGTAGAGATTAAGTAGGTTTTATTACTGTCACTTATTCAATTCATTATCAATAGTATCTAAACTTGTGCTCCCAGGGGAAGCTGCGATGAGGTCAGAAATGGTGGGATGGGACTTTGGCTGACAGTGATTTCCTATATTTGTTTTTGAGGGGCACCTGGGAGGGTGCCCCGATTTGAAATAACCTTTAAATAAATCCTCTGTTGTACTGTCAGCTGCTGTCCCATGGTTAGTTCGTGGCATGTCTGATAGGCTGAAAATCCCTGATATAAATTTTTCCCCTTACTTACATGTAGTCTCTGTGCTGATACCATGTTGGGGTCACCAAATGTTGGTGTCGTGATATCATGTTCACATACACACCGTATGTGGAGAGAGCTGATGGCTACTCTGAAGCTTTATTAAGTTACACAGTCTTATATAGC